CTTGGGTCACAAAGTCACCTGGTGTCCCACGGTTCCATGTTTGGTTTCTGTTGGAAGCCACAAGCTCGCAAGAGACTATTTATCAAGAGAACTGTTATTTGCTGAAGTGGGCTGGGCCTCTACACCCCTTTGGGACACCCTGGGGACTCTGCTTCTGGGTCTTGCCTGCCACAGCCTCATGGATCACCCCAATTTGTCAAGCACCATTGGATCCACTGAGTCATAAGGCCCTTGTGGCAGATGTGTTTGAACTACAGCCAGGAGTGGCCAGACAGCCTTTCGCCTTCCAAGACCCCACTCTCAGCAGCTGCCTCTGCCCCTCAGGTTCCAAGTGCAGCCCTGGCACCACTGGCGGTGCTGGACCTGGGGAGCTTCTGCACCATTGACAGCCACCCCCACACTTGTCTGCCCCATCGTCAACCAAACCCACTCCCTACTGTCCCTATTTCTTTGGGTCAGAGTCCTCCTCGGGCACACCTGGCTGTCCAAGACTGAGTCGACGCTTGCCCCTGGCTGCAAGGAGACCTGGGAAACTGAGTATCCGGCCTTTCGGTTCCTGTAGGGGTTATTGGGTTCTATCTCCCATCAAACATAAAAAGGGCTGCATGTGCTGGCCAGCCCCAAACAATAACACAAAAACCACCTCTCTCCAGGAGCTGTTGTGAAGGTTTTATGACTTGCTACGCTGGAGCTCAGGCGTTACAGGCACAGAGTCTGAAGCCCTCCGCCTAGATTCGAGTCCTGGGCTCTGCTGCTCACTAGCTGTGGGACTCTGAGCAAGCTACTCCCTTTTGTATGCTGTAACTTGCTTATCTGTAAAATGGACTTGATAAGAGCACCAACTTCACAGGGTTGTTGTAAAGATTCAATCAGGCAGAGTGTGTAAAACAGCTTACAGAAGTACGTGGCACATGGTAAGCTTTTATGTGAGGGTGTGTGGTTCACTTCTTTCTCCATCCTTAAGTGCCTAGAACACTACCAAAGACACATTAACATGCAAGGAGTGACAGCTGCTGAGGTCGTTACTGTTGTCATGACCCAAGTCTTGTCTACTTGTCCAGGTATTTCTATGGACTGTGTCCCAGAGGTGGAACTCCTAGGTACAATGGTATGCACAGTTTAACTTTTGACAGGTTTTGACAAACTGCATTTGTTAATAAGGCCCCAACTGACCAATCCTGAATGAGCGTGCCCTTTGCCTCACATTCTCACCAATACTGGATTTTAACCTTTAAAATTTTTGCTCATCGGATAGACAACAGTGTTGTTGTATTCTGTCACTATTTCAAGTTTTAACTTATGTGTGTATTTCAAGTTTACTATAAAATTTTAAAAATACATAATGGAAACGTAACGTGATAAACAAAACTTGCTCCCCATAATCGCAGTCCTCCAAGGCAACCACGTTAGTTACATCCGGCACATTTGGTGTGATACAGGAAGCTTCATCTCCACAAGTGCTTTTCTATGAACATGTAAATCTACGTATAGAATTTAAATATATATATTTAAATTAGTTTAATACATAAAGTAATTTAATAAATTAATTAAAACTACATGGTTTAACTAATTAATTTTACATATAGTTTTAATTAAATGGGGTCACATTATTTTTCTGATTTCTCCCCCTCAATCGTATTTCCTGGATATCCTTCCATGTCAGTATATACAAAACCATGCATTATGGTTTCCTGGTGTTCCATATAACGGACGTTCTGTAATATATTTAACCGTTCCCCTCTTGGTTGTCTCCAACTTATCACTATTGCAAACAATGTTGCAATGAACACCCTGTTCATTGCATATTCGTGTACTTGTCTATATTGCGTACTTGTCTTTCTATAGAGATCCCTAAAAGTGGTTTTCCACTTAAAATGTTGCCAGGTGTTGCTAAATTGCCTTCTTCAAATGTTCCACCATTTTATACTCTTGACAACAAAATACAACTGCCCTTTTCCCCACACTCCTTCCAACTCCGAATATTATCCATCTTTTTATTTTTGAAAATCATATATTGTTGTTTTAATAAGCATTTGTGTAATTGCTAATGAGATTGGGTGCCTTTTCTTATGTTTATTAGCCATTTATCTTTCATTTTCATATCCTTGGAATATTTTTCTATTGTGTTGTTTGTCTTTTCTAAATTAATTTGTTGGAGATCTTTGTATACTAGGAGCAATCATTATTTTTCAGTTTAAGCCTTTTAAACTGAGCAGTCTTTTGATAAGCTGAGACAGGAAAGCCCACGATATTCTTTTCCCAGAGAGCACTTTCCACATTTCTACACATGGCTGGGACCCTGGGGAGACCCTCGTGGAAATAGCGGGGAGATACGGTGTGTGGAAGACAGAGTCCAGGACAGGCAATGAGGCTCTTTCCCAGGCCTCCCTCTGAGTCCATGTAGAACCGAGGACAAGTTTCCCAAAGCCTCAGGACTCGTGTCTCCCTGGGACGCTGGAAGAAGTAGCCCCCACCTTCTTCCCAGGCAGCATCTTGGCTCTGAGGTGAGAAAGCAGAGGGCCTGGGCTCCCCAGGGGAGCAGGGATTTGTTCCCGCCCGTCCTGAGCCTCCATAGAGAAACTGTAACTCAGGGATGTGACTCCAGGGACCAAAGTTCTGTCCAGCCTCAGATAGAAGGGCTTTTATTTTCCTTTGGATATTTTATTTACAGTACTGTAACATGTCCAAAATGGATGCTTGATTAGGGGTTTTGATGGCTTATTTTGGGCCGTTAACCAAGACTGATGCAATCTTTTCTTCCCAGGGCTCTCAACTGAAGGTGCAAGCTAAGTGGGCCGCTGTAAAGGTGGAGTTAATTGCATAAAACTCATTTTATGGCTCTTGTCTCAGCTCTTCTGGAGCCAGACTTGGAACAGGAGGACGGCTGGGGGTGGGGGTGATGGCAAACTTTCACCTATGTGCCTGTAACCGATGTTGCTGTTACCTCTTTTACACCACATAATTGGTTTTCAAACTCGCTTCACCTTTTCCTCTTGTAGATTAGATGTGTAAAAAGATACGCAATTTCTGTTCCAGTCAGAACCTTCTTCAGTTAAACAGAAAATTGGTCTTCAAGGTACCTCCCTTTCTTTCCTATAGATCAAAGAGACTTAAAGATTTATCGACAGGCACAATAGAAAGGTATGGACCCTCTTTAGATCTTGATTCAAATAAACTGTAAAATTCTTAAAAAACGTGGGTTTTTTTTAGGAAGATTAGCCCTTAGCTAACATCCACTGCCAACCCTCCTTTTTTCACTGAGGAAGACTGGCCCTGAGCTAACATTTGTGCCCATCTTACTTTATGTATGGGATGCCTGCCACAGCATGGCTTGATAAGCGGCATGTAGGTCCATGCCTGGGATCTGAACCTGCAAACCAGGACTGCCGAAGCAGAGTATGTGAACGTAACCACTATGCCACCAGGCCAGCCCCAAAAATTTATGAGACAATAGGCGAAATTTGAAAACTGATTGAATATTTGATAATAGTAAAGACATTAATTTGTTTAGGTGTCATTATGATATTGTGGTTTTATAAAAGAATTCTTATCTTGAAAGGATACATACTGAAATACCTGCACAAGAAATAAAAAATGTCTAGGTTTGCTTCAAAAAAATCCAAGTGGAGGGAGACTGGGAGGTATAGCTGAAACAAGATGGATTATGAGCTAATTTGTATTGAAGGTGGGTGGTGTACCTGCGGGTTCATTATACTATTCTACTTTTTTTTTGCTGAAGAAGATTCGTCCTGAGCTAACATCTGTGCCAATCTTCCTCTACTTTTTAGTATGTGGGCCACCAGCACAGCATGATGAATGGTGTAGCTCTGCTCCCGGAACTGACACAGGCCGCTGAAGTGGAGCCCACTGAACTTAACCACTAGGACACCAGGTCGGCCCCTCTCTCTACTTTTGTATATATGAAACTTTCCACTGAGAGAAAGAGATCTCTCGCTCTTACTATTTTTCTATTTTTTCTTCTTTCTCAAGAGATGAGGATAAACCAGTTAAGAAGGCAGCCGTTGCTTTTCAAACACTTTTTTTCCTCTCTTTAGTGTCTCCTTGCTCTTATCAGTAGGCCACCAGTCAGCACTGCCCACTGAGAAGCACGCATCTGATAAAACTGAGTCGAGCTAAGGTGCTAGGAGCTCAAGCCCCCAGCGGTGATTCCTGCAGCCCAGAGCTGAGAAGACGCCTTCCCACAACAAGAAGACATGAACTGCTAGCGGTAAATTTTCAAGCATCAGTGGCAGGCCAGAAGGGAGACTTTCTGAGAGGATTGGAGGTGGGGAGGAAGCTTCCAGGTGCCTCTCAAAAGCGTCCTTTGTAGGAAGCCCTGGCAGAGCGCATTGTTTTTTAATTATTTCTCTCCCTTGAGTTTTGTCCTTGCTCTGAGTGGCAGGCTCGGAACTCAGCATTTTTCAGAGAAAGGAAGGTGATGCTCATCCAGCGTGAGCAGCTGGATGAATTAGTCAAACTCTGTTTCTTTGATGTGAGATGAAGAGAAAGCTATTTATCTTTCCAGGTTTGCCGTGGGCAGTCCTGGGCTAACTCACTGCCAGCGTGCAGGCCGAGCCTGGTGCCACTCACACCTGGTGACATGTTCTCAGTAAACTACTGAGCTACTCCCTTCCTCTGAGGGCATGAGGTTGGTCTGTTAAAATGTGGAGAAACGAGCCAGCAGAACTCTGCTTAGCTCGTAAAAGCCTTGACCTGTCCAGCCAGTCCTGCTTCAGGCTTCCACAGGCTGCTGCCTTATGTACCATAGGCATTGTGCATACATTTGTGTTGCTGGGTTTTTTAGTTTGTTTATGCTGTTCATTGCATGCAACTCTGCACCTGTATATAGCAGACAACCCCATCTAACACTGCACCTTCAATCGCCCTTACCTTATCCTACTTCCTTCACAGCACTTCCCTGAAATGATGTTATTTACTCATATGCTTACTGATTACTGGCTGTCCCCCTTAGGAGGTCATCTCTATGAAGGCAGAAACTCTGCATTGTTTGCCACCCTGTCTACCGAAACACGTGCTCCAGAAAGGTGTGTGGAGTGCAAGAATGCACAAATGAAGAAACAACCATACACACATGTGTCTTCCAAAGGAGAGGGCAGGCAGGTGGGTGGGACAGCTGTGGCATGAAAGGCACCGGGGCCAGTCCTCCTCCCCAGCCTGGGCTCCCACTGCGGCCCTCACCTGCACTACATTTGATCTTCCATCCTTTTATTTTCCACATCTTTCTCCAAAATATACATATATTAGTATATATATAGATACCTTTATTTGGGATTTTGGTTACAAAAATAATACATGCTTATTATTTTAAAAAATATAGAAGTTTATTACGTAAAAATGGAACATCATCCCCTTCCTTCCATTGCCTCTCTCCAAAGGTAACTACGGCGAGCACATGGATGTATAGCCTTCCAGGCTGTCCTGCAGCACAGGGGGTCTCCACCTCTCCTCCCACCTCCTCCAGGAAGACCTCACTGCTCCTTTCAGGAGAATCTGCTTCTTCACTGCTCTCCCCATTGCAGAGAGAGTCTCCCTGTCCTGAGACCTCCACGAAACAAAACCCCACAGCTTTGCACATCCCTTCTGGTTCTTCTGCCTCCCCACCCTCCTAGCCCCCCAAACCAAACCAAACAAAACAGGAGGGCAGGCCCTGTGGCCTAGTGGTTAAGTTTGGTGTGCTCTGCTTTAGCAGCCCACTTTCAGTTCCTGGGTGTGGAGCTACACTGCTCTGTTAGTGGCCATGCTGTGCTGGTGGCCCACATACTAAAAAATGGAGGAAGGTTGGCATAGATGTTGGCACAGGGAAAATCTTCCTCAGCAAAAACAAAATGAAAAAAAACAGGAAACAACATGGAGGGACTGAAAAAACTGTGAGATCTGGAGTCAGATGGACCTGGTGGAAATCCTGCTCTGCCATCTACCAGTGGCCTTGGCCCTCTCTGAGCCTCCGTTTCTTCGTGAGTAAAAAGGAGGCTGATTTACCTACAAGACTGGGTAGTGGCAAAGCTTAAATGGAGTGCTGCAGACAAGGGCTAGTGCTGACCAGGTGGTATGTTAGGGTTAATTCCCTTTTCTCTCCGGTATCACTCCCCTCGTCAGACTTTCATTGCTTCCCTGTCATTTTTCTTTTGCTGGACATGAAGAACACTGAGTTCTTTTCCTTTTTCTTACATTAAATTATTCCTATAGGGGGCCGGCCCCGTGGCCAAGTGGTTAAGTTCGCACTCTGCTTCAGCAGCCCAGGGCTTCAATGTTGCAGATCCTGGGCACGGACATGGCATCATTCGTCAAGCCATGCTGAGGCAGCATCCCACAAGCACAGCCAGAAGGACCTACAACTAGAATATACAACTACGTACTGGGGGGCTTTGGGGAGAAGAAGAGTAAGGGAGAAAAAAAAGGAAGATTGACAACAGATGTTAGCACAGGTGCCGAACTTTAAAAAGAAAATTATTCTTATAGACACCAACTTCATCATCTCCTCTTCCTTCCCTTTGCTGGATTTAGTCCTTTCCTCACTTCCCCATCTCACTGATCAATGTTCCCAGGACGTGTTTAAAGAGGCCCAAAGTAATCAGCCTGTGGGTAGAAGAGAAGAGGGGAACCAGCCTCTGCCCTACATCATCCCCACGCAGCTGCGCTCCATGGCCCCTGTGGCCACAAGAATCTACATCCTGTCTGGAGAGGCCAAACAAAGCCAAAGGGCAGCAGTTACATAATCGCCTGGCTATCCTGCTGTCAACACGATAAGCTACCTCCTCCAACACTTACTGTGAATTTCTGGGGCTTGAAGCAACAGGAACCAATGTAGGCAGCACCCAACCAGCAGCCTTCCCAGGTACCTGCCTCCACCGTGGGGTGGGGGTACCCAGCGTCAGGATATTGGAAGCCTCCCAGGATTAGCAGAGCAGGCTGCAGTCCCACTCTACCCAGAGTCCTGCCCAGGGCTCAGACCGAGGGCCCTCCCACTACCCCTTTCCTATGAATCCAGGAGTCCTCCAGCTCTGGTGGGCCTCGGGCTAGGGAAGGGCCAATCAGATAGGGGAGGAACCCCTTAAGCTCCTGAGAAACAACAGTACAGACGCTCAGGCGACAATCATACTGACTGGGGTGCAGCTCTCCACCCTGGAAGCCCAAGCCCTGTCTGTGCCAGAAGAAGCAAAGACACCGCGGGCCATGAACACTTGTCTGTCATCAGCCTGAGCCCTGACCCTCACGGCCTCCACCTGCAGCCTGGATTAGGACAATTTTCCCACCCCCTGCAGGCTCTGGAGCAAGAATCCCAGGAGAAAGCAGCAGGTAGAGTCTAGGGGTGCCACGGAGGAGCCACAGAGACAAGTCAGGTCGTGAAAGAACTTGCAGTCAATGAGAGACTCGAGAAAAGCAAAATAACAGCTTTTTTGGAGTTAACGACTCAAGAACTTTGGATAAGAGGGTGGGCATGGGGTTTCTTTCTCCTTCAGACCTTGGATGTTGGGCTACCTCAAGCCAAAAAGCAGGAGAACAGAGAGGAGGTAGGAGACGGCGACTTCAGGAGAAGGGCCAGAGGGGCGGGATGAAGGCAGGGTGAGTGGCATCCGCCAGGAGACAGGAAGCTGGCCAAGGCAGAGAAGCAGCCCTCTGGGGCCGCCCCGTGGGGGCAGCTGCAGCCACAAGGCTGACGTCGATATGTGCCTGGCTGATGGTGCAGTGGTGAGCGGATAGGCATACGAAAGAGCCAAGAGGGCTTGGGGACCTTGGGGATAAGGGAGGACCTCTGCCCTGGGCAGCCACAGAGCATCTTCCTTTGTAGGCACATGATCCCTCACCATGGGAACCAGGGGGACAGACACCCGTCTCACGGAGGCCCAGTTTGCTCTCCTTCCCTCCTCTCCTGTTGGGACACCCGGGGGTTTCTACTGGCAATCTCAAGTCCAAACTTTGTCCCTTTCACTATCCAATAAAAACTTCACTCCCAAGCTTTCATCCAAGGAGATGAAAGTGGTTCTGTAGACACAGAGTCAGCAGGTTCCTAGAAGAGTGGGACAGAGGTTACCCTGGTCAGGCAGCCAACTTTGAGGAAAGAGGGGGCCCCT